CCATGGTGCTTCTCCACCCCTCCCCGGTGTTCACAGTGCCCTTGTTTCTGACGCCTTTTCAGAGCAGAAACTGCCGATCGGTCTGTGCTCGCTTTGAAGCAGCCTTGGATGCAGTTTACACTTTTAGTGGGACCCAGTTTTTTGTACTACTTTGTGAATGTTAGAGATGCACTATCCCTCCTCTGGGGCTTTACACGAGCCGCGGACGCGGGCAGGATGCCCCAGGATGGACCCAATATGCATGGCCTGGTGTACGTACTGTTACCGAGCGCCCGCTGGGCTGCGGGGCGGCGGGGGTCCCGCACCCCAAATCCACTTCCACCCAGCTATAGAGTGAAGTGGATGGGGCTGAGCTCCTGGCACCGGAGCGGCTGCAGCTCCGCTGGGCTCAAGGGCGGCCCCGCAGGTCCCTCCTTGTTGTTTTATAAATATATATATATTTTTTGTAGCAAGGTATCGTTACCTCACCTTCGTGCTGGGGGCCGAGGGGCTGGGCACGGTCCGTCCCGGCACCACAGAGCTGGCCACGCTTCCTTTCTTTTTTTTGGATGTGATTTTTAAGACCTCTCACGTGCCCGTTTGGTAGGAAATGGCTGGCAGCAGCCACACGGACCAGGTTTTGTTTTATACACTATGAGCAGACAGTGATGAGACCCTCCTGCAACGATAGCACGATTTTGCTAAAGGTTTTTAACCCAGGGTATGTCGCACTGAATGACTGGAGGTAGAGGGGAGACGACCACCCTAGCAGAACTTGGATGGAGACTGTAAAGTGCTGAAACCTTTTTTCTTTAAAAAAAACAAAAAACAAAAAAAAAAACCAACCACAAAAGCCAGAGAGAACCGTGCCCTGTATCGAGTTATTGTTTGAATAAAAGTTTTATTTATTGCATTGAGCTGGGCCTCGGTGTCTTTTTCGGCTGCCGTGCTGTGCGCTGCCATCACCGCCCGCATTGCCATGCCCTTTTGTTTTTTGTTGTTGCCATTCTCCATCCCTCCATGCCAAGGGCCATTCCCATCCCATCAGTGCCCAGTGCCTGCGCTCAGCTTGGACCGGTTTGTGTTGAAGCAGCTTTGCTAAGGGGTTAAAGCCGTTTAACCCTGTTCTCTGCTCTGTGCTGCATCTCTGCTCCCTTCGGTGCTGCATGCCAGTGGGGTGCCCCGTGCCCACTGCCTGGCTCCCAGCGAGGCTGTGGGGGCTGCATTGGTCTGGGGGCATTGGGAAGGAAGCAGGCCCCCCTTCCCCTCCTCTCCTGCCCTCTCCTCCCTGCAGGTCTGCACCACTCGCAGCCACGTGCCTCCTTCTCCTCCTCGCAGGGCGTGCTGCTGGACTCACCACTCAATCAGTCCCACTTTTCCTCCTCTCTCTTTTATTTTTACTTTATTTTTCCCTCCTGCTTCCTCTACCCGCAGCTGCCTCCACCCGGTTCCTCTCGTTAACCACCACCATTTGTTCCCATCAAGGCATGCCGGTGTCCTCCAACCTGCCTTCTCTTTCCCTTGCAGCCCCGATGTTGAAGTGGCCAGGTTTTGAGATGCCCCCTGCCCATAGTTAGTAAGTTGACGGTCTCTCCGCGTGCCCCTCTCTGTGCTGGGCGCTGACGCTGGGCAGACGGTGCCTCCGCTCTCCTTCCTGCACCCACGCTGTGTGAGCCCTCGGTCACTGCTTGTCCCCATCCCGGTGGTGGGACCCTGCACACCCAGCCCTGCTGCTCAGCTCTGCACATCGCTGCTGTGCTGTGGACGCTGCTGCTGTTGAGCTTCTGCAGAGGGGTCCCAGCTTCTCGCCCGCTGCTGCTGCTGCTGCCCACCCTGCTCTGACCCCATAACCAACCTTTGGTTGTAGGTCACCAGTGGCACCTGGAACCCTGCAGAGCTGTCCCTGGGGCAGAGCCAACACGTGGTCGCTCATGACATTTTTTGAGCAGCTTCTCTTGCTTGTAGACATGGGTGCCAACCCCCACCTGGCTCCGGGGCTGTGTCTTGGAGCTGCCCCCCCCCCCCATCTTGGGATGGAGCTCTGTGTGCCCCGCACTGTTTCTGCTGTGGTGCAGAGCTGTGGGTTCCCATCCCAATGGCTGTTCCCTGCCAGAACTAAAACAGTTAAAGAATAGCCCCTGGTGAATCATCAAAGCCTCCTTTTCTACTCTTTCAGTCTCAAGAATCTATTTTGGCATCCTAAGGGGAAAACTGATCTAAGCATCTGCATTAATTAGGTGGGAAATTAATTACCCTATTTTTAAGCATAAAGCCATTTATCTTTTGAGGGAAGGAAAAACAAGCATCCAAAGGTGAGGGATGGTGAGGGGCAGCACCTGGTGGACTGCAGCCCCACCCCCTGGCCCCACTACTGATGGATGCAGTGGGTGCTGCTGTGGGTGGAGACAGCTGATAGCACAGCTGATAGCGTGGCTGCTCCTAACGCCTATTACCCCATGTCTATGCTCATGGTTTGCTCCTGGGCTGTACCAGCCATAGGAACAGGCACAGGACCCCAGGAGGGTGCCACAGCTACATGCAAGTGCCATAGCACAAAGGTGAGGGGTTGTGCAGCTGCTGGGGAGGGCTGGGGGCTGCCAACAGAGCCGGGCTGTTTGCACACAGGAGGTAGTGCAGGGCGTGTGACGTGGTGGCAGATGCTGTGTGCAGCAATCCGCCTGCCAGGGAAAACGCTCTGCGAGTGTGGGCGGCTGCAGGATGGTGCTGGGCATGTAGTAGGAGCCCGTCCTCTCCCTGTTTTCTGCCTCTTGGACGTTTTGCTGCTTCCATGCAGCTTGGCACGGAGCTGTGCTCTCTGCTCTTGTCCCAGCACGTCCCATGGCAGCGGGTGCAGGGAGCGATGCCTTGTGCACAACGCAGCCGCCCCTGCAGCACCGGCTGATCTCGGGACTCTCCCCGTGCCAGAGCAGCTTTTGCACCCCGCACCCACCCCTAATTTTTTTCCCTTTGGAAGAGCTCAGCTTTAGGCCTGCTGAAAAGCGAGGTAGGAGAAAGCTCCACGTGGACCGCAGCTTGTACTCAGGGGTGTGCTGGGCCGCCTGCAGCCATCGGAGCATCCCTGCAGCCAGAGCTGGCGGGGTCTCGCCGTCTCGTCCCATCGCCCCACACCTGCACTCCCGAGCCTCTGCTAAAATCTGCCCTCCTCTCTCCCTGCAGAAACCCCTTTGCCAACGTCCAGCTGAAACCGACCGTGACGAACGACCGCTCGGCGCCGCTCATCAGCTGATGCCGGGAGCGCTGCCGCCGCGTGGCACTGCCGCCTCCTCGTCGCCCGGCGCATGGCTGCCTCCCAGAGCCGCCTTTTTAGGCAGAGTTTATTTAATCCTGCTGCTTTGAAAAGCCAAAGGCTAAAGCTTTAGTGCCCCGATTTCCTCTCTTCTCTAGATCCAGCTCGCTGCTTGCAGTGGTGGGGGTCAGATGGCTGCCAAACAGCCTGGTGCCCCCCCCCCGGATCAGACACCCCGTGCTCCTAGCTCGTGCCCCATAGCCAGGTTTGCTTCTCAGAGTGGCAGCAGCTTGCAGGGGAGGGAGGAAGGCACGGGGGACACCCTGCTCATGGGACGCAGTGACAACGGGCGGGCAGGGGAGCTCCAGTCTCCCCTTAAGCAAAGGAGTTGCTGGTGCCAGTGCTGCAGCCCTGGGTCAGGGCTGGACTCTGCTCCCGGGGCTGCTGCAGTGCCACGGCCGTGTACATAGGGGGGTGTTACGGTACTACTGTAGGATATAAGCTAAGAAATACACAAGGAGCAGAGGGCTCCGTGGATATGTGCCACGGGATAGCCAGCACTGCTGTGCTCCTTCCCAGGCTCAGCCCCAGAGCCCTCCTGCTTTGCTGCTTCTCTTCCATTATTCCTAGGGCTGCATGAGACTGAAATATATACACCTATATACTCGCACCCCCAGCCCTGCCAAAGGGGAAGGGGTTTTTGAAGCAGGAGCTGCGTCTTTGCTGCATGATGCAGCTGGCACCAGTGAGGCACGGCTGGGAGCAGTGCTCAGAGGTTCTGCCTTTCCCATTGTGTTGCACTTTTTTAATTGTTTGAGCGCAGAGGACCACTCGGGTTGCTGTGACTGTAGGTTTAGCCCAGGTGGCAGAGAGCTGACTGCGTTGGTCACTGCTGGTGGGGTTCTGCTGTGGAGTTGCTTTCCAGTTAGAGCCAACTGCTGGCACTGCTGTGCCCCCTTGCATGGCTTGTGAAAGTGCCCTGCAGGAGAGCATCCCCACCCAGGGCCGAAGTGATGCTGGCTGCACCCAGGGTATGTTTTGCTCCTGGACACATTGCTGCTGTTTCTGTGGGGCTGGAGCAGCACTGTGACCCCCAGCATTCTGCCCACCACAGCCCACCTCCAGGTGCTGTCCTCCGGCACCCTTGCATCACGCATGGGAAGCCACCACCTTGTCCCTAACTCTGCCCATCCCAACAGCACCCCAAAATGCAGTGCAGGGCTTGCACCCTGCCCAATGTGCCCCAAGGATGGTTGCAGCTGTGCCAACCCCAGGTCTCACCGTGTGGTGCCAACTCTTCTGCCACGCTCTGAGAGCCACTGTGTTGTGCCTCATGGCAACAAGGGGCAGGGGAAGGCTCTGCTGCATCTCGGGGCCTTCAGGAGGGCTGGGGGGCTCACAGCTGGGGTAGGGGGTGTCAGGATGGGCTGTGCCTTGTCACCAGCCCCGTGTCGTCCTCTTCCAGCCCCATACGAGAGGCTGCTGAGCCCGGGGTTTCACTGCACCTCCTGCCTTGATGGGCACCTGCAAGATGTAACCTGAAATTGTTTTGTTTTGTTTTTTAATGAGAGGACAAAAAAAAAAAAAAAAAAAGAAGTAATTTATGAGCAATAAAATTTACCTCCCCACCACCGGGCGCCCCGCGTTTTCCTTTGGGTCGGTGGAGCCCCCGCAGCGGCGATGGAGCACAGCTCTCCCATGCAACTCTGGTCCCAAATCAGAGCAGCCCCACAGCCACGGCTGTGCCAGGGAATGATGCGGGCAGGAAACGGAGTACGATATTTTAAAAACTTTATTATCGGCCCGATGATGTCTGACACACATGCTGGGAGCTGTATGGAAATCAGCACTGATAAAAAATACAGCAGTAATGACCCGTATCGATAAAATATACAATGTCAGAGGAGCTCTTCTATTAAAAAAAAAAAAAAAAAATCATCATCATCATCATCATATCTGGGGGACGCAGCTGTGCTCTCGTGCTGCCCTCCAGAGGCGGCTGCCTCTGCCATAGACCAAACCCTGGGCTGGGGGGCTCCAGCAGCCCCTGCAGATGTAGGGGTCAGGGGGCCCCTGCTGCAATGCAAAGCGCCTGTGCTGGGGGTGGAGCTGAAATCATACGCTTTTATCAAGCAGGAATTGGGCTCGCTATGTCGGGAAGGGTGTGGGGTGCGCAGTGGGGAGGCACAGCCCCCCCCCCTCCTCCTCCCGCCCTGGTTTGTGGGGCTGAGGCTGGGGGAACCTCTTGTTCCCTTTAAGGGGGTGGCACCCCTCCTGCAGCCTTCTCCTAAAACGCCACGGCCCAGCTGCAGGCTGGATGAATGCAATGGGAGCCAGAGAACACCCTCGCATCCTCCAGCAGCAGCCCCATCCCACGGGCACGCAGCCCCATGGCTGTACACGTGTGTGTGTGTGTGTGTGTGTGTGTGTGTGCGTGTGCCCCGGCCTCCCCGGGAGCCAGCCCGGGCTGCAGGACACGGGGCTGTGGTGGTGGGTGGGGGGCATTCCTCACCTCAGGGTTTGGTCTATCAGCCCCCAAGGACACAGCCCTGATCTCAAGGTTCCCATAGGCTCCGCTTAGTCCCACAGCCTCCTGGGAGCTGGAATTGCACAATTATCCTAAGCCTTAAATGAATTTTTTTTAAAAAAAAAACAACAACAAAACAACAACAACAGAAAAAATAACAAACCAACCACGACCCCCCCAACCCCCTCGAATGCCTCCACAAACTCTTTACATCTCTTTGGCAACAATAACTTAAAACCGCGGCAAAGTGAGTTCTGTCAACAGCGAGTTTTGGTTTTGTGGGGTTTTTTTTTTTGTGTGTGTGTGTGGTTTTTTTTTCTTTAAATACAAAAATAGTCAGGTCAGCCCCCCTCTCCCCCCCAAAAAGCCTCAGGGAGGTGGGGAACCCCCCAAGCTTCAGGGTTCCCTGCAGGGCTGGGACTGGTCCTCGAAGGGCCTGGCTAAAAGCAGGGGGCAGCCCCCCAACCGAGCCCCCCCAGCGGCTGAAAGGCTTTGCCAGCCCTGGATGGGGGGGGAATACAGGGGGGCATCAAGGTGCAGGTGGGGACAAAGAACCGGCTTGGGGAGCACACGTGGGGAGAAAGCCAATGTGGGGTGGGGGGGGGGGGGGGGCATCAATGGGGGGGGACTGAGCAAATGTTAGCAAGGTCAGGGCACTACCCTTTAAACGCTATAATTTTATATATATATATATGTCTATATATATATATATGTCTATTTACACACACGCAGCCATCCACTCGCACACGCACTGCTGGCACACACCGCCTCACCCTGGGCTGTGCCCGGCTCCAGCCAGCAGCACCCCAAACTCCTTCCAACCCCATCTGTCTAAAAAACAGAGCACGGTGCCCGGAGCCAGTGCCAGTGCTGAGGGCGCAGGCAGGCGAGGCGCACGCTGGCTTATTCCCGATCACCATCTTCGCTGCTGCCTGGAAGGGAGCAGAGAGGTGGTGTGAGCAGGGGACCAAGAGGGACAAAATCACCTGGGGGTGGTGGTGCCCGTGGGGGGCACTGGGACAGAGCTGTGCTTTGGGGGGCAGCGGGGTCCGCTTGAGGTCTCACCTCCTACGGAGTCCATGTCTGAGTCGGAGACGTGGGTGATGGAGAACCGGGACACCGGGGCAGGAGAGACTGTGAAGCGGGAGAACTGGAGGGGCAGCACCTGTTTTGGGGTTGGCACCAGCGTGGGCACGGCTGGGTCAGGCTCTGCCGGCGTCAGCGAGGACATCAGGGATGGCTTCACCGGCATGAGCGGAAAGTCATCGTCCCACTCAAAGCCTCCACCTGCAACACAGAGCAAAGGGCTGGGGGCTGAGCCCGTCATTAGGGTCAGCCCACTGCCACCCCCTGACCCCACAGCCCCCTTACTCTCTTCTGAGGCGTTGCCATCCGAGGAGTCATCCGATGCGCTCAGCCTCTCCGTGGGGCTGGCAGGGCTGGTGGGGCTGCTGCTGGCTGGGGGCTGCACCGAGGGCTCGGGGACATCTGGGAAGCTCTGCTCGCCCAGCTCCCGTGTGGGGCTTTCCTACACAAAGGAGACACCATGGGAAATAATGCCATTATTGGACACTGTGCCCACCGCTGCGTGCCCACCTCGCCTTGCTGGGGCCGCTCACCTGGTCAAAGAGGTAGATGGTGACATCGTCATAGAAGGACACGGCCTTCTTCTTGCGCTCCAGGTCCTCACAGAAGGCCTCGGAGAGCAGGCTGGGCATCTTGAGCAGGCTGCGCAGATTCCTGCCACTGTGGCTCTCAGCCACCACAATGGGGACGGCGGCCGGCTCCTCCTCGCTCTCCTCGCTCTGCTCCTGGATGTTGTAGCAGCGCAGCTCCTCATCCGACTCATCACTGTCCTCTGTGTCCTCCTCCTCCTCCTCGGGCTCCTCTCGGCGCTCAGGGGTGGATGGGAGCATGGAGATACCCATCGATGTCTCATCCCCTGATGGCAGCGTGCTGGGACCCCCGGGCGCATCCCCTCCAGGCGTGATGCCCACCCTGGTGCCCTCTGGGGGCAGCCCCGCTGCCCCAGGCCCTGGCACAGGGGGCATAGTCTGTTCACCCCCAGCCACATGTTCTCCCAGTCCAGGGATGCTCTCAGCCTCATGGGTCCCTTCGCCCGGCACTGGCTCCTCACTGTCTGGCACCGGGGACAGGGAGAAAGTCTTGGTTGGCACAGAGCTCCCCAGCACATCACCATCAGGGCATGGGAAGCTGCTTGGTGCTGGGAGCTCAGTGCCATGCTCCTGCACCGTGGGACAACCAGTCTCTGCTCCCCGCCAGTCCCCCACAGAGACCCCCATGTCCAGTGCTTCGGCTGCCAGCACTGTGCTGGGGGCTGCTGGGGGGCTGCCAGGTGCTCCTGGGGGGTGCAGTGTGTCCTCCCCCAGCTCGGGGGCTTGCACCATGTCCTGCATGTAGGGCTGGGGCCCCTCCTTCTCTGCCTCCGGGGTCTCGGAGCCATCGCTGTCCTCCTCATCCTTGGGGCCACGCTCAGCCTCGGTGTCGTAGTCAGAGAAGTAGGCAGAGTCACGGTAGGGGTTCTTCTCGGAGAGGCCATGCAGCTCAGTACCAAAGGATGCCGAGGGCCGCGTTTCGGGGCCTGGGCTGTCCCCGTCCCCTCCCGGTAGCCCCGGGGGTGGCTTCCCCATCTGGCCAAAGGCCTCGGGCTCACGGGGCTCGTGGGGCTCCTTGAGGACGAACTCAGGAGACTCGTTATTCTCTGTGTCGTAGCCACTGTCCACAGCCTTGGGCTGCCCGGCAGACGTGAAGGCGGTGGGGCTGAACACCTCGCAGGAGCTGGCAGTAGAGGGGATGTCCAGCGACTCCAGGGAGTCCGGTGTCCCCACCTGCTTCTGCAAGGACTTGAATGCCGGCGCCACGTCTGCCCGCTCCATGTAGTCCCCGGAGAAGTCGGTGAAGACTCCCGAAGTCAGCTCTGCCGTGTCCTCATCGCTGCCATCGTCGCCACCAGGGAAGCTGCTGCTGGAGAAGGTTTTGTCTGGGGTGCGTTCTGCGTCACTGGTGAGGCACGCGCTGCTCTCAGCAGCCGCCTCTGCAGACACCAATGTCTCATGGCCCTCCAGCGCAGACTGGGCACCGTCTATGCCAGGCTCCCTGGTGGGAGCAGGGCTTGGCACCTTGATGCCGGCCATAAGGGTGGCCTCCCCAGGGCCCGTCCCAGCTGTGCCGTGGGGCGCGGGGCTGCAAGGAGGGCTGCTCCGCTCCATGCCCTCAGCCGGGTGGGCATCCTGTGGGCACGGCTGCGCTCCGGCTTCCAGGGCCGCGTCGGGGCCGCCAGCCAGCACTGCTGCCTGCGAGCGGCCGGAGGCTGATGAGTCATGGCTCTGCCAGGCCTGGCTCTGCGGGGAGGGCGAGCGGCACTGGGAGGAGCCGGGGGGCTGGGGCTGCTCCTGCCGTGGGCGGCGGAAATCGATGCCCGGCGGAGACCCCCCGAGCTGGGGCTGGGTGCGCGGTGGCACAGTGCCCAGCGGCTTGGCCATCAGCCCGCGGAAGGTGATCATGCGGCGGTAGCACCAGCTGTCGGCGGGCTCGCGGGTGGCCGGGCTGCCACTGCCAATGTTGTTGTTGGAGGAGCTGTTGGAGGCCCAGGGTTGCTGCTGGGGGGCTGCTGGGATGGGAGCCCCAGGGGGGCTGTCATCACCCAGCTCCAGCGTCACGCAGTCCGGATGGGTTTCACCCTGAGCTGGAGGCTGCCTGTAGCTCTGGGGGCTGTAGGCACAGTTCAGTGAGGGCGAGACGCCCAGTGGGTCGGCGAAGACACTGTGCTGGAAGCCGGGAACGGGCCAGTCCTTGTCACTGGGCTCAGCATGCTCCTCGTCCAGCAGGAACCTCTCAGGGCCGGGGGATGGCACATAGCCATGCTGCTCCTGCCCCGCATAGGGGTAGTACTCGGCGCACTCCCACGAGCCCTCACCTGCCGGCGCACGGCCCAGCAGCGGCTCCATGCTCAGCGATGCAGTGGGGCTGCTGTCCGAGTCATCCCGCGTGCCCTGGGTTCTCCAGCAGGACGTGGAGCCACGCTCACCCTCGGGGCTGTAGGAGCACATGGCGTAGTCCATCTCAGCACTGCCCTCAGCCGGGCCCTCGATGCGGATGTAGTATTCACTGCCGAGCGAGGGGCTGTGTGCGCCCAGGATGGGCACCATGCTGGGTGGCGGCAGGCTGGGGCAGCCCTGCTGCTTGCACTCATAGCAGGACGGTGAGACCCCCAGGCTCAGGTGCCCTGCAGATGCTGCTGGGTAATAGAGTTCATGGTAACGTGCGGCGCTGCTGGGGCTGAGGGAGCCCAGGGGTGCTTGGAAGTGCTCGGTCTTGGTGTGCTCCCACTTGTACTCAAAGTTGAGGCCGTGGCTGGTCTCCATCACGGTGAGGATGTCGTCCCCGTCCGAGGGGAAGCCGTCGGCCGAGAAGTGCTCCAGCAGAGGGAAGGAGGAGAGCTCAGCGCCGTGGTGGCTGCCGCTGGCGCTGCCGTTGGGCTTCATGGAGTTCCAGCGCTTCTCGAACTCCTCCTCTGCCTCCGTCGCACCCTTGGCGCAGAGGTAGGAGAGCAGCAGATGCACCTCCTCAGCTGTCGGGCGTTGCTCGGGCTGCAGCCAGCAGAACTGCATCACTTCATACCTGCAGCAATAAGGAGCAGGGCTCAGCGCCGTGCCCGCTCCCATGCCAGAGCCATGGCTGCGCACCCACACGGGGACAGGGAGAGCTCCTCACCAGCGCTCCGCCAGCGACAGCTTCAGCTGGGGCTTGGGCAGCTTCAGCTGCTGCTCCTTGATGGCGTAGGCAAGCACCTGCCGGTCGGAGTAGTGGTCGTAGGGCTGGCTGCCCAGCTCAAACAGCTCCCAGATGGTGACACCCAGTGACCTGCAGGAACGGCACGATGCTGGGGGCATAGCGAGACCCCCAGCCTGCCACCGGCCGGCATGCAGACACCACACACCCGCTGTGCCCCCCACCCTGCTCACCAGACGTTGCTGGCCTTGGTCTGGTCCACGACAAGCAGGTTGCCGTGCACCTCATCGATGAGCTCGGGCGCAATCCAGCGCAGCGGCACCCACAGCTGGTCGGCCGTCACAAAGTAGTCGTCCTGCCAAGTATGCAGGGTCAGTACGAGAAGAGAACGTCAAAACGACACGTAAAGGACAGGGCACAGCACCGCCCGCTGCCAGCACTCTCCCCAGCCTCACTGCACCACCACCCCACATCCCCAGCCCCATCGTGCTGTTCCTCCAGGCTCACACCTCCCAGTACCCACTCAATGCCCCAGCAAAGCCTGCAACTGAGGGAAGGGAAGGGAAGGGAAGGGAAGGGAAGCGTACAGCGCGGTGTTCGGGGATGTGTGTGCACAGAGAGTTACACGCAGAGCCATACGTGTGCGCAGCACATCCCTGAGCTCCCCCAGACTCGATACTGTGGGGGTCCCAAGCGCAACCCCCTCCTCACTCTAACCAGCCTTACTTTGTACTTGCAGTGTGAGAGTCCGTAGTCCCCAATCTTGACGGTCAGGTCGGCTGTGAGTAAGCAGTTCCGCAGAGCCAGGTCACTGCCAAGCAAACCCCAGTGCTGTCACCACCCCCACAGGGGGCACAGGGCACCCAGGGCGGGAGGACCGCACTTGGGCACCCCCAGCAGCACTGCTGCCAGTGCTGGGAGCAGGAGGGTTGTGCTGCAGCAGAATGCTGGGCGTGCCAATCACCAACCACCCAACGCACAGCAGGAATTCTTGCACAGCGTTCCAGCTGCGCCTCTGTCCGTCCATCCATCCGTCAAGCGCTGAGCCAAGCGGAAAGCAGGTTTCCCCAGCAACGTGAGCCCTGGCACTTCCTACCCGTGCAGCCAGGCATGGCTGGGCTCCCATAGCCCCGGAGGGGTGCGCACAGATGGGATGCACATTAGGACAGTGTAGATGCATGTGGGGAGACCGTGGGTGCACCAAGGGCGGGATGCCCACGGGAAACCCCTCTCCTGCACTGCCAGACCCCACTTCCCCCTACTGCAACGCTCCCAAGCAGCCCAGCTTGGGCTGGGAAGGTCCAATGGCCCCGATGCAGCACTCCCCTTCCTCAACAAAATCACTGATGCTGGAGTCTCTGTGTGCAACTCACTCAGCACCAGGATATTGTTGGGCAGGAGGAGCAAGGTGGGGTGGGCACAGCCTGGGGGTTGCTCAGCCCACTCCCCCCCCCCCCCCCGCACTCCCAGCCCGGACCGGGGATGTAGTTGTTCCTGTGCAGGTGCAGCACGCCGCAGGCCACCTCACATGCCATCCTCTGCAGAGTGAGAGGGTCTGGGGCCATGGAGTCAGCCCCCCGGCAGCTCCGTAAGTATCCCTTCAGGTCACCCTGCAGGATGGTGCCACTGTCACCACAGTCCCCTCCCGCACCCAGTGGGTCCCAGGTCCAAAATGTGCTAGGCATGGCACAGCAGTGCCATGTGCCACCCCACGGCACCCTACAGCCCCAGCTTATAGGGCTATGGCACTCACCAGCGGGCAGAACTCCATCACCAGCAGGTAGGGGGTGACCTCAGCGCACTGGGCCAGGCACTGCAGCAGGTTGGTGTGCTGGAGGGCCCTGCGGGGCAGAGCGAGGGGCACGCTGGCACCACGGGGGGAGCATCCCTGGTGCCTCCTCCACAACGCGGGGGCAGCTGGGAGCGGCTGTGAGCGGGTACCAGCGCGTCCCAGCACCCCAGTGCACACCACAAAGGGGCATTTGTTCAGCTCTCATGGGGCATGGAGCAGTTCTGTGCCCCCCCCATACTCATGACCTCACTGCAGGCAGGGCCAGACACCAGCAGCATCCTGCAGCCAGCGAGCCCCAGGACAGAGCTGAGCTGCAGCCCAGAGAACTCAGCCAGAGGGGACAGCCCACAGCCTGGGGACAGCCTCCATCCACAAGCACCCCCCATACCAGCAGCTTGTCCCAATTCAGGAGCACCCCTGGCCCTACCTGTAGGGCTGTGCTTCCTCCAGGAACTGCATCTGGTCCTGCACGCTGGCACTGGCCTTCAGCTCCTTCACCACCACCTGAGTGCTGCTGATGCCTGAGTTCACCTCCCCCAGGAATACCTGGGGGCAAGAGACAGGCACGTTCCCATCTATCCATCCTCACCGCACCTTGCTCCCAGTGGGGGACACAGTGACCCCTGCAACCCACATCCCAATGGAGCACAAGAGCTGGAGCAGCCCCAGGGGGACCAGATCCTGCATGCACCAGGCCCCAGTATCCCAACACCCCGATGCCCCGTGCTCACCTTGCCAAACCATCCATGCCCAATCTCCTTCAGGTACAGCAGGCTCTGCCTCCCAAGGTCTGCAGACTTGAGGAGCTGCACTGTAATAGAACACATCCAGCTGCCTGTGTGCTCATGTGCCCACCCGCACCCCCCAACCCACCCGAGTTACCCGCCGATTCCAGCTGAGCCCTGGGGTCCTTCCTGCTGTGCCACCCCACGCTGTCCTGGGATGCTCTGTCAGCAGTGGGGGGGCCATCCCCAGGCACCCCACATCCTTCCCACCGAGCATCCTGGTGTGGCCGTGCTGGTGTGGGGACATGGGGTGTCCCCAAGCAAGGCAGAGGGGAGCTGCTCTCTGCCCCTTCTCCTCCCCAGAGATGGGGAGAGCAGAATGGAACCGAACTGGAGCTCTGGCATTTAGCCACAGTCCCGGCCCCCTCCCAGCACAAGTCCTGCCCCTCATGCACCCATGCCAAGGGGTGCAGCAATGGAGCCATTGTTGGGCTGCGTCACGCCGCCCCAACCCTGTCACACTGCTGCTATTCTCTGAGCTGGAGAGAGCAACAATGGGAGCAAGGGGGCTGTGGCACAGTGCCCCCCCCCCCCAGATTCCTCTCCCACTCGCTGCCTTGTTTACGCAGGGCTGGGGCTGGTGGGTGCCATGGGAAAGAAAACCCTACAGGACGGTTCAGTGGGCACGGTGGGGATGGGCTGATGGTTGATCTTAGCGCTCTCTTCCAACCTCAATGATTCTACGTCCCAGCACACGCCAGAGGGATGCACACTGCTCCCCTTGGTGCCACGCAGGGGGACAAACCATCCTTGTGCAGAGGGACGGCGCTGCTCGAGGGACCTCAGCCTCCTGTCACCCCCTTGGAAGTTGCTTCAGCTAAGCCTGGCACAGGGCTGTGATCACCCCTCCTGGCCCCACTCCACCTCTGCCCCGGGGTGCACGGGGGTCCCACAGTGCCCAGTGCCTCCCACCCCCCTGCTCCCCTCAGGCAGCTTACCTGAGCGCCCCGGCTGCTTGGCCATGGGCAGCGAGACCTCGGTGAGGGGCAGGACGTACACCTCGGGGCCATGCTGCGGGGCAGGCGAGCCCTGGGCCGAGAACTCCGTCACGTAGTCGTCCCCCTCGGCGTTCTCAAACTCCTGGGCCAGGGCGGAGGGAAGCGCACGGCAGGGGGACACACACGGAGCAGAGACAACTGACCCTGCGGGCTCCCTGCAGCCTGCCCCGCGCCCCCCAGCGCAGCCACCCGCACCCCATAGCGCATCACCGAGCCCCCCGGGCCGTGCCCACAGCCCCATACCTGGCACTGATGCCCCACCAGCCCCCGGCTCCTGAAAGCCGCCTGGGCGAGCAGGTAGGTGATGGTGAGCATGGTGCTGCCCCGGCGCAGCCGCCGCTCATGGTGCTGCGCGCCGCGACCCCGCGGGCACTGCCAGAGCCGGGCTGCAGCTCCACGGCCCTATATAGCTGCCGCGGGGGCTCGAGGGGGCTCATTGTTCCCCTGCTCGAGGTGCTCCGGTGTGGGACGGTTATACAACGACCCGGCGTGTCCCCTCTGCCTGACCCCTCCCCGCCGCGGGCGCCGCGAGCCTCCACAAAAATCCCAGCAATTAGGGAAAACTGTTTCTCGGCACATTCTGTGCCTGTGAGGTCAGGGTGCCTCCCACCCCGGGGGCGTGCGGGTGGGACCGCCGCGGCCCTTAACCATGCCGTGACCCGGCCCGGGGCGATGGGCAAGGCTGAGCCCCCCGCCACTGAGCAACAGGCACGTCCCACAGGCAGTGACACTGCACCGGGAGACCCCAGTGGGAGCTGCAGCCCCCTGCCCACGCTGGGTGCCTGGCCCTCACCTTGAAGCCGATATCTCCCTTCTTGCAGCACAGGCAGGCCAACATGAGGAAGATGAAGGTGAAGAGCCCGGAGAAGGAAACAGCCACGACAGCCAGCGAGGAGGACCAGGAGAGCTCGCTAAGGGGGGTGCCGTCTGTGGGGACATAGGGGTGCAGGGTAAGGGGAGCAGATAGGGCTGCGGTGCAGGGGGCTGCCAGGGGGTTGCACGCAGGGATTTTGCTCACATGCCCCCCCCACTGCTGTGCCCCCACTGTGCTGTCACCATCGGGCACACCGTAACCCCAAACCACATCCCATTGGGCTCAGGGCCAGGGATGCTGCCAGCAAGGTAACGTGCATCTCCATCCCATATCCCCTCGCCCACCGCCCCACGGGGCCATCCTGCACCGCAGCCCCTCACTGCGAGCCCCCACCACAGGCAGCAGCTGCCGCATTACTGTTCTGCCCAGAGCCTCCCCAAACAACCGGCACGTGGTGGCGCAAGGAAGCAGGAAGGCCACAGTGCTGCCACGACAGGGGGTGGCGGCACAGAGACCCCCACCCCACTGTGAGCCCCCACGCACCTGTCCACAGCACGGAGCTGCACCCAGAGCCGCCGCACCGTGCCTTCCCTGTTGCACCGAGGGATTGGGGCACAGTGCCATCACCCGTGCATCTCTTTCCCAAAGCCCAGCCCAGCACCACTGCCACGCACCACGCGGGCAGACACACGATGGGGGCTGCGCCATCACCAAGCCTCTCCCACCCCAGGTGCCGGTATGCAAAGCCACGCTGGGCACCGCGCTGCCAGCTCTGCCCCCGCGCTGGCGTGTCCTTGAGGAGGGCACCTGAAGGACAGGAGGGCTGGGGATCCCCGCTCGGGGGCACGGAGCACCTCGGGCCCCGCACCGCACAGAACGCGGCCGCTGCTGGCGCAGCAGCTCCAGAGCCATCTTCTGAGGCTCAGCGATGCGCAGCCGAACCGGGGAGGAGCCGGGGGTGGCATTCTTGCTGCTTGCAGCCGGTTTCCATGGTGAACACACTTTGTACAGCGAATGTCACCATTTTCCTTGGATAGTGGGACAGCAAGAGAGAAAATGACTCACTGAAAAGAGCCTTTTGAATGCCGACGGGAGCAGAGCGCGGCGACAGAAGCCGTTCCAGCAGGGACTGTCAGCTGAGCCGCCCAAGGCCGCGGTGCAGGAAATGGAGCTTTTCGGATGAACCCATTTCCAAAACAGCGTGTTCTGCCTCAGTTTCCCCACCTGCACCACCGCTGGTGCAAGGAGGGGTGTCACCACCATTTGAGGGCTGGGAGCTCCATGCAGCTCTTTTGGCATTACCGTGAACCCACCGCAGTCCCCCACCGTTGGATCCCCCCCCCAGCAGCTCCGCAGCGCTTCCCCCACAACAAACTGCTCTCACCACGGGGTCACACTGAGCACGGCCAGCTCGGTGCATCCCTCAGCAGGAGCTGCTGCACCAGCCCCGGAGCTGGGGGAGCAATGATGCTCCAACACTGCCTGCAAGCCAGGAGACACCATGCTCCATTCCCATGCTGGGGGGCAGGGGTGGGATTCAGAAGAGCCCCAGGGTGGCACCTGACCCTGCAAACGAGATCAGAATGGTAAAGCAGAGAGCGCAGAGATGCTGAGCACAGCGGGGTCCACCTGCCCACACCCCACATCCTGTTGCATTGCTCACCCAGCTCAGGGACGCACCCCCTAAAATCCTTTTCCTAAAAGGCACCCGGGAAAGGCTACAACCCCACAGCCCCGCAGCGAGGGATGGGCTCAGCCCTTCCCGGCTCCTTTGCTGACTCACGTTTGCTGAGTGCCTGCAGCCGCTCCTCCAGCCATCCCCCGCCGCTGGGATGTGCCACGGCTGCCGCTCGCTCTGCCCGGCGGCAACGGGCAAGGAGTGGGGCTGACGTGTGCGGAAGGGGAGAGCCCGGGGCTCCCCGCAAGGCTCCGCATGGCCAAATGGATCGGCAGGAGCAGGTCCTGCCCACTTGCTCGATCACACACCCGAGACCACCCCCGAGCCCTTTGCTACAGCTCCTGCTGCAACCTGCCCAACTGTGCCTCAGTTTCCCCACCTTACACCCATGAATCTGGTGGGTGCAGAATCACAGACTTTCTCCCTGCAGGATGGAGGGAGTCTCACTGTGTCCAGACCCCCAATTGACCTGGGGTCCCTATGCAGCTATGTGCAGAGGAGTGGGACAAAGCGGGGAGTGCTCCCATCCTCCTGCATTGCCCCCAGTGAGGACGGCGATGGGAGGCCAGGTGGGAGAGGACGGGCTCAGGGAGGGCATGGGGCTGGGTTTGGGCACGATACAAAGCTGGTTTTGGGCACAGTGTAGGGCTGAGTCTGGACATGATGCAAAGCTGGGTCTGGGCACGGTGTGGGGCTGGGTGTGGGTTCGGGCAGGGTGCAGGGGTTTAGTTTGGGCAGGGCGCAGGGCTGGGTTTGGGAAGGGTGCCCGGTGCGGGGTTCAGAGCTGGGTGTCAGTTTGGGCAGGGTGCAGGGCCATGTTTGGGTAGAAAGAAGGTCTGGGACAGGATTGGGGCCGGATGCACACACACAGGACCCAGCACAGCATCCCACCGCAGTCTCAGCACTCTCAGCTGCTCTCCCAGCGCAAGCACAGTCCTAGTAACATTATAAATCCCCGGCGAGATGAAGGGCCTGGATCCATGGGCAGCTTCCAGGAAAGCAATTTTACACCTCAAAGGATGAGCGCGCTGCTCACCCATACGCAGCCAAGCAGCAAGAAACCATCCGCTGCCATTTAACACGAAAACACGAGGCTGCTCCACACAACTCCAGAGGGAAACTGAGGCACGGCCAGCATCACCCAGCAGCACTGCACAGAGCCCATCAGGTGCCATGGAGGGGCTCATTTCCAACGCAGTGCGTGCCACGTTCATCTGCTCTCCCTGCATGTCTGTTCACACGGGCTAATTTAACCGACACAGAAGTGTTCTGAAAGGATCGATTCTCGCCTCTTAGTTCGGGTTTTATCACCTCGGGATGGATTAGCAGTAAGAAATAATAACAATAATTTGATGGAAAATTAAAATTAAAAAAAAGAAGGAAAAAAAAAAAAAAGATCACCCGTCATTTTGTAACGTGGTGGAATGAAAACGTGGGCTGTAATAAGTGCAGCACTGTGCACACACCGAGCATCAGCCTGGTGAGAGACAAAAAGCCAAGTTCCTCCAGCACAGCCCTCCTGCTGCAGGCAGCGTGGTGGGTAGGGAGCAGCCAGACATGGACAATTTTCCCTTTGCTTTCCTGAGAAAATAATATATTAAAAAAAAAAAAAATTCATTATTTCAATTGCATTCTCTTGGTTGGAGCTTAAACTGGGTCTGAAGCCTCCCTCCATCCCACACCAGCAGGGACACGCAGTGCCATCACAGCAAACCACAGCCATGGCTGGAGCCAAACCCCACCAACAGAACGCAGCATGGGCTCCTCGTGCCATGGGGAGGTGAATTGGTGCCTGTGTGGCTCCGAAGGAGGAGAGCATGGACTGGTGCCCTGTGCTGGGAGGGAGGGATGCTGCGGCCTTCAGGGCATGGCACTATGGCCAGTGCTATGGGCACAGAGCCATGGGCACGGCACCATGGAAACAATGGGCACGGCACCATGAACACAGCACCACGGGCGCTATGGGCACAGCACCGTGGCCATGGCACAGCAGAACCAGAAAACACCACTAAGATCACCAAACCATCAGCTCATCACCACCGTGCACACCAACCAGAAAACACCACTAAGATCACCAAACCATCAGCTCATCACCACCGTGCACACCAACCCACGGCACTCAGCGCCGTGAGCGCGGCACCGCCGGCACAGAGCTGTGAGCACAGCACCACGGGCACGGCCAGAACAAGGCTCCCAGCAGCCGGTGAAGCAGCATTTACGTAACGGCGGGAGAGAAGCCGCGTGGAGGGGGGCAGCCTATTTTTATCAGAAACGTTCAGCGACGTTATGAAACAAGAAGCCTCGGCTCCGAAAACAAGCGGTGAGAGAGGCGAGCACCGAGCGCAGCCACACACGCCTCAAACCGGCGCCGCACCGGGCAGCCCCGATGTCCCAGGACGCTGACAGCTGTGGCAAACAGGAGGGTCCCTGCCCACCCCCTTCCTGCCGCTCTCTGCAACTGCCTTAAAGCTCCATCGCTGCGGTGCGCCCGGCCTTGGGAGCTGCCCTTTGCCTGCCCCAATTTCAGAGAGCTGGACGGCGTAGCACCCACCACAGTCCCTTTGCACAGCCTCTGAACAGCCCCATGCCAGGCTGGACAAGGCAAGCAGAGGGGAAGAGACCCTGAGAATCGGTGGGGAGAGGATTTTAGGAAGCTGTTATGGTGCCAGCACTGAGGCTGTCCATCCATCCCCAAGTGCGCAACACCCCCATCTCGCACCCACACTTTGAGACCTCGGGGACTTTCTGAAGCTGCTGCCCTGAAAGCATCACCACAGCCCTCCCGAGGGACGTCACCCCCCAGGCGGCAGCTCTGTGCCTCGCGCTGCCCTGCACCGCAGCGTGGTGCCATCAGGGGTGCTTTGAGCAGGAGGATTGCCTGGCACTGACCAGGGGTGCGCAGCCCACCCTTGGCAAGCACTCACCCCTGCACCCCAGAGTCCCCCGTGCCCCCCAACAGCCCAGCCATGCTGCACCCTGCAGAGAGCTGCCCCACTTACAGCGCGTGCCACGCCGGAGCTTCCCTTCGCTCCAGCATTAAAACAACAGTGGTGGCATTGGAGTCAGCAGCAATGGCCCCGCTAGAGGGGAAGGGACGGGAAGCAGGGCCTCCAGCCACCGCCGCTCGCTCCCCTCGTCCCAGGGACAGTCGCTTGCAGGAAATCCTGAACCTGCTGCTGCTTCCTCCAGTGGCCAACCCCTCCCTGCACTGCCCAGCACGGCCCCGTCCTCTCAGCCAGCCCCAGCACCACATGCCCTCAGCCCACCCCCTCCTTGGGGCTGCCCTTCAGGACAAAGCCTTCACGGTCCCAACTTGCAGTGGGTAAGGGGCCTGGCGTGGGCTTCACAGGGGCTGCTCAAGCCTTTAAGGCAATCATTTATACCAATCATAGGCCCAGGAGTTGGGAACAACATCGTCTGACCATGGGCAGGATCCCAGGACCAACCCCCTGGCTCCCAATGGGGTTTCTCACCCACAGGGGACCCCAGCCTGATCCAGGCTCCAGCTCCTGTCCTTCCCTGGTGCTGAGCCCCCATGCTCTCCCCAGAGTGCAGAGATGGGATGGCACATGGCTGGGACCCCCACCTAATGGCCATGGCTCCTAGGCTTGTGGCATGCTACTGGAGCTGCATGGAGTAACATCATCACAGGATGAGCATCACCCAGCGCCCACTGCGACCCAATGCAGGAGGAACCCAACTAAGTGGGGATTTCCAACTGAGAAACACTGGAAGACGACAGCCTGTGCTCCAACAGCCCATGGGACAGGGAGGAACCCAGCACTGGGCAGCTCCTGGCCGGGCGCAGTACTGTGCCCATGGGATGGCCATGGCACTGCTCTCCAGACAGTACAGTGCAGATACCAGCACTGCCCCACGGCCCAGTGCCAGGACAGGAGCTGTGGGGCACCCCGCGTCCCACGGGCGGGCAGGCAGAACTGGGCAGGGAGCCCGTGAGTCACCACCCCACCCCTCCCGAGAGATCTGAGCCCTTTCAACCCTGGCATATTAATTTCTCCTAATTGGCTTTGACAGGGATCAGTATCGCCATCCAAAACGCAATCACCCGTGTGCACGGAGAGGGGGGGAGCAAAGAGAAGGAAGGAGGGGAGAAGGGGGGGAGCAGGCGGGCACCCCCGGGGGAGCGATGCTGGTGCCGATCCCATCCTCCTGCAGCGGGGCCCAGCTGCCCTGCAGCACTGCAGAGCTGCGCCAACACCATCGCCAGCAGCAGCCCAGCTGGGAGCCCCCCCACCCCCCCAGCACCCCCCTGGGACCCCCACCTCCATGCCTGGACAGACAGACGGGCCCTGTGCTGACACCTTCCACGCGCCGGCAGCTCCTTGTAGGATCTGGGCGGTGAGGTGTGAGCGAGGCAGCTTCCCACGCGCTGCCGGGTGTTACGCTTCCCCCACTGCAGCCACCTCCATTCCACGTTCCCCACTCCCTGCCCCAAATCTGACCTTTGCGCCCACCCTGCTGCCCTTCACCCCTTGTGAGCTCTGGGGTTCCGGTCCCTGTGCCGCTGTTCCCCATTGTAAACCCCTGCCAGCACTGCCCAGCAATGCAAGGCACTTGTGGCACAGGGATTGGGGCAGGGGGACGCAGCATGTGCCAGCTGGACCCACAACCACGGTGCGGTGGAGAGGTCCCATCACTGCCCCACGGCCAGCTCCCAGGAAGGGCCATGCAGGTGGCACCGGGACTCGGCCGAGGGACAGCGATGGCACGGGCAGCACCAGCAGGCATGGAGCACCCTGAGCTCAGTCCCACTGCTGCCCAAAGCTGCAGCCCCACAGCAGCACCCTGCTGCCCCCAACACGCCAAGCAAAGCCCTGCTGCCTGCAGCATCTCCATCGTCCAAAAACCATCACTGTGCTGCTCGAAAAGAAAAAGGGAAGGAGAAATATGGGTAAGGGAAGAGAGGACGTTTCTCACAAATTCAAAATGTGCTCCGCAGGCTGAGATGGGGAAATCCAGGCTGGGAGCCAGGGCAGCACCGACCCCAACCCCGGCCGGAGGAGACACAGCCTCACATCATCGTGAGCACCGCTGGCCCTAAAGCCAACAACTGTGCAGCGGGACACAGCGAGGCCTTGGAGGCAGAGGGGCTGCAGAGATGTCCTTCCTCACAGCGCAGCCTGGCTCCAGCCATGATCACCCCCAGGCCTGGAAACCCAGAGAAGAGAGGAGCGGGATCCCCCCGCCCCCAGCCACCTCCGCAGGGACACGATGGCAGCAGCTCTCCAGCCAGCACAGCCCGGCATGAGCACATCTCACACAAGGGCCACCAACCTCACCGAAAACACAAGCTGTGCGTGGAGCAGGGGACAGTTCCTCCACCCCCAGAGTCACCGCTGTCCCCACGCCGTCCCTGCGGTTCCTCCTGCTCCGCGTCTCCGGCAAACAGCAGGGAAATGGGGCTGGCGCGGGAGGTGCCGCGCAGACGGTGCCGCCAACCGAACGGGATCAACAAGCCCGTGAAACAGAGAATACATTTTCCCCCCTCTAATTTCTTTCCCTGACAGTAACCGTGGGTGTCAGCGGCAGCAGAGCCCGGATTGGGGAGCACGGCAGCATGGCGATCGGCAGCGACGGAAAACCTTCCTGCAGAAGGATGCTGAAAGCAACCGTGCCCTGCAAATCCCCAGGTTGACGGGATTAGCATGGCAAATTGGGCGCTCGGCGAAAACCCGGAGAGAAATTATACCGAAGGCTGAGAGTGGTAAACACGTCTCCATTCCCAGCGCTGCCGCATTTAAGATGCAAATAAAGAGGTTTCCTTCCTAACGCGGATCAATACCGAGCAGGCTGCGAACCAACAGTGTGGGTAAATCCCGGCCGGTCCGCATTTACAGCCCCTCAAGAGTCGGCTCCAGCAAACGGAGCGATGTCACCGCACAGAGGAGAAGGGACACGCGATGTGACAGTGACATCCAGAGCCACGCAGCGACCGCGTCCCGCCAGGGCAGCGCTGGGTCGGCTTCCCCCGCTTCAGTGACAAAGGGACCGTGCCAACGCGCTGCCACCCCGCAAGGATGCTCTGCTGTGGGTCACCGCACCGACCCCACCATCAGCTCCCGGGGACGCGCGTGCCATCCACACACACACACACTCACGCTGCCATCCCCGTGGCACACGCAGCCCACGCCGAGGCCAGAGCTGCCGGTCTCCCCCCCCCCCATCCAGCCGGAACGCGCTGCAAACGGCCCCAAAAACCCACACAAAAGCCAACGCCGCTCCGCGCCCGTGCGCGGCCGCTTCCTGCAGATGCGGCGCAACCGAAACCGTGCCGCCGCGCTTACATAACGGCAGCCCCGCACGCAGCCCCGCACGCCTCCGGTACCCCCGGCCCCGCTCCTCCGCGGCGGCCCCGGGCAGCGTCCCCCCCCCCGCCCCCCTTTCCGCTCCGTTCTCACCGCTTCTGCCGACATTATTTTTCAATCAGACAAACAAATGCCCCCGGAGGCGGCGCGGTTCCGCGATTCCTCAGCGGGGGACAAAACGGCGCCCGTTGCGGAGCGGCTCCCGCAGCGCACGGTGACATTTGGAGGCGCGGAGCCGCGCTCGAGCTCCGTTCCCCGCACCGGAACGGCTCCGAACCCGCGGAGAGGCGGTGCGGGGCTGCGAGGACGGAGCTGCAGAGAGAACGGGGGACCGGGGGCGAAGGGGGAGGGAGCTGGGGGGTTGGCCGTGGAGCGATGCGGGGACCGCTACGAGGGGTCGGAGGAGTGGGAAGGGAAAAGCGGGGCCGCTCGTCGGGGGATGCAGAGGGGCTGCGGCGGTGAGGAGCGGAGCGAAGCGCGGCTCCCGGTGCCTTCGGGCCCGAGGGGCTGCGGCACTCACCGGGATCGAAGTGGGAGCTGAAGGCGAGGCTGGGACTGAGGAAGGCGGCCGACATGGCAGCGGCGGCGGCGAGGCGGCCCATGGTGCGGCGGGAGCCTCACGGCCGCCGGCTGCCGCTGGCCCCGCGCTGGGCACGGCGGCGGCGGCGGCTCCTCCTCCATGGCGGCCGCCGCGGCCCCGCGCCCCGTGCCCCGGGGAGGGGCCGCGCCGCCGCCGAGCGGGATGGGGAGGGGAGGGGAGGAGAGAGGAGGGGGCGGCAGGTGGCGGCCCTCGGTCCGCAGCGCTGGGATCGCGCCTCCGCCGCCCCCGCGCGGCCCCGACGGGAGATACCCCCAGCCCGTCTTCGGAGAGGGGGACCCCACGGGGAAGCCCCCACCCCACGGTCGGTGAAGGCAACGTCGGCCCCGCGGAGCTACGATAGTGCTGTACCGTCTGCCGGGATGGGATGGGGTGGGATGGGATGGGATGGGATGGGATGGGATGGGATGGGATGGGATGGGATGGGATGGGATGGGATGGGATGGGGGGTGATGTGATAACGTGGGTTGGGACAGGGGACGCTCTGCCCCTGTATCCTCCATCTCCACCTGTCCCAGCATCACCCCCAGGACCCGAGGCCCCCAATCCCTGGCAGGGGAGCAGCACCCCACATATCCCCACTCAGTGGGGGACCCTTTGGGCTGGGATTATAAACACAGCACAGCTCAGCCTCGTGAGCTCAACGCTGCAGCACCCGCACGTGGGGCTGCACCCCCAAAACGTGGGTGCACCACACCACCCCTGCAACCCTGCAGGGACACCCAGTCAGCAGGAGGCAGCTGGGTGCAGGGACCCGCGACAGATGTCCCTTTGGGTCTGCACTCCTTGGGGAGCAGCACACACAGCTTTCAGTACAGGGCTGGCTGATGCTTTTAAAATTTAAAGCCAAATTTTGCATACAACAATTAATTTTTTACAAGACTTCAAGCTTGCAAAGAACACCACGCCGCACATGTCACGTTGCCACAAATAGATACAGGGCTGGAAGAACTGCAGACTTCACAGGGAATAAACATTCCTCCATCATCGGGAACCAGCTCGCTCCTTCGTGCTACTGCTGCCCCCCAGTACAAGCAGACCCACGGCCCCCCCCACTGCCCCCAGCCATGTGCAGGCCATGTCCCAATGCTCTGGCTCAGCGCAGCCCCAGGACACCCACATGCCCCCTGTGCATCCTGCTGGGATGGAGCTTTGGGCTCCAGGGATGGGGATGTTGTGGGGTGGGGAGGTGACAGAGGGCAGAGGGTGCCATGGGGAGGTGGTGGCCTTGTGGGGCTGTTCCCATGGCCCTGCTCCGTGCGCTGCTGAGCTGGCACAGCTGAGTCACCACAGGGCAGAACGTACCCACGGGTGGGCGGGCAGCTTGCAGCAGGCACCCACAGCCCATCCTGATGGAGCCTTCTGGCTGTGGGGTGGCTGTGGTGAGTGGATGGGGTTGAAATAACCCAGGTGTCGTGTTGGATGCTCGGCGTGGGATGGGAACTGGGATCGTCCCCTCCAGCCACCCGGCCACTTTGTCTGGGGCTGCAGCTAATCCCTGCTGGGCAGACACCAGCTTGAGCCACAGTCTCTGCACAGCGGCTGCCAAAAGCACCCGGCCCTCCTGACCTCCTTCCCACCAAGCAGCTCGGCCCGCTCTCGGGCTCCACTGATCCTGGCTAATCCACGGCGGGAGGGAGGCTCCTTAATTGGGGAGCTTGGCACAGCCGGCGAGTGACTGCTGTGCTGCTCTGCTCCGTCTGCCTGCAGGGATGGGGCAGGGCTGTGGCAGGCAGTCAGTTGCCCTGGGCCTGGGGACCCTGGGTCCCATGCATCAGCAGGGCTCGGGCAGCCATCCGGCGTAAATCTGCAGCCCCAGTTATGCAACGCCGCTGGTTTATTCATGCCTGAACTGGGCACTGGCCTAAAAAAAGCTCTGTGATGCTGGGGAGAGACAGGGATGGGGGCAGAGCCCCCCGGGAGGGCAGCAGGAGTGATGGGCACGAAGGGCGCCAGGGGCCCTCCCAGCCACAGAATGGGGGATGTGGACAGGGGCTGCCACCTCAGGGCTATGTCAACAAACAGAGGATGCTACAAATCCCTCCCCAGGGTAGAGGCATTGCAGAGCCCCCCAGATGGGCAGGAGGCAGCCCCAGCAGGAGATGCCACTATACAACCACATTAGGGACTCACCCATGAGCCCCTTGCACACACAGCAGCCCCCCATGGAGTCACAGCACCAGATTCTCCCTGAGTGCTTCACCACTCCCATTCTCCAGGCAGGGACAGGTTCAATTCCTATTTCTCCCGCACTCAGATTCACGTGATTCATTAATTTTACCCCACAGCAGAGCTGTGCAGGGCCTGGCAAAACTCATCACAAACTCTGCTCGAGTCTCAGCTCCTCACTCACAGGTCCCAGCAGCACACCCAGCCCCCCGACAGCATCACGTCCCCTCTGAGCCGGTGTAGAGCCACAGGATCCCGCTGCTCTGCAGTCGCTGCCACAGCTGCATCTCCATCCTCAGGTCATGGTTGATGAAGAACTGCACCTCCTTGTGCCCACGGTCGAAGTAGTGATCTGAGTACGCCCGGTAGCCCGGTGTCATGAACCCAAAGGCACTAACCTGCAAGACACAGGGCTGAGCTCACCACCCTGGCACAGGGGATGGGGCAGTGCTGTGGGAGCAGATCTACGAGCAGTGACCGTGGCAGAGGGGGTGCGTGGATGCCAAGTGGGAGGCAGCAGCGCTGCTGGGTGGGGTGGAGGGCTGCAGGAGCTGTGCTGCACCCAGAGCAGAGCTGTGGACACAGGGTGCCCACCTGGTCACAGGTGTGGATGGCGGTCAGCAGCATCACGGCGCCGGTGGAGGGCCGGTACAGCTGCCAGAGTGGGGTGGCCAGGATGTGGGAACGGAGGAATCTGCAGGGAGTGAACGGGAGCCTGAGAGACCTCCAGCAGTGGGATGGGAAAGGGGAATCCCCCCACCTGGGGGCTTCTTACCGGTTCCTGAGGTAGCGGATGAAATCCGGGTGCAGCATCCTAAATTTCCCCACCTGCAGGTCCTCCCCGAAGAATTCCTGGGGGCTGTGGGGAGGTGCAGGCAGCTGCTGGGAGCAGTGGGGCACAGGGATGTGCTTGTGTCCCCCCCCCACACGACCACTTACCGGACCCCCTCATCCCGACCGCTGTCCACACGCTGCTGGCTCAGGGCCGCCCGCAGCAGCAGGTAATCACGGTCATGGTCTGGGAGGAAGACGTAGCAAGTTTCCTGCAGCAGAGGACGCACCAACAATCAAAGAGATGACAACGGTGCTGTGCCCACAGCTCCCCTGTCCCCCTGCCCCACTATTCCCCACCGGTGTTTGGGGTGGATGCCGGAAGCCATCGGCGGCGTAGCTGTGCAGCGCGTTCACCATGGTGTTGGTGGAGAAGACGTAGAAGGACGTCCTGCTGCCAACATCGTGCTCAAAGCCCTCCGTGATGGCCCCGTTCACCCTGCAAAGGGACGTACAGGGAGGTGGTGGTGGTTCCCCCTCAGCTGTGGGGGTGGCCGTGCCCTATGCCCTCACCTGAACACGTAGTCATGAGCATCAATGGTGGGGCCCATGCCGGAGCCGTGGAGGATGCCCCCATTGCCCACCACGGCACAGCGGATGCAACTTGAGGCCAGAGGGCGGGTGTCAAAGAGCAGAGCGCTGCTCGAGGCGTTGAGGAGGGACAGGGATGACTTCAGCACTGCGGGCGGCAGGAGGCGGGGGTCTCCTATTCAGCACTCTCTCCTCCCTCTCCACGGGATGGTGCTGTTCTCCACCATCCCCCCTTTCCTGTGCCACGGGCACAGGGACCCGCCGTGCCCCCACCCGCACGCACCATCCCAGCGGATGTCCTTCCAGCCGTGAGCCCCCCTGTATCGGCGCAGCCGCTGGTACTCATCCTCCTGTGCGTGCCGTGCCCACTGCAGCACCGGGATGGTGGGCAGGAAAGTGTCCCCAAACTCGGTGGCCCCAATTCTCTTCCTGATGCTCTTGGGACAGCCCTGGAAGCACAAGGGGACGAGTGACCGCACGGCACAGCACCTTCATGATGTCCTGCAGCTGGGGACATGATACCTCTGTGTCCCTGCCCCAGCCCTGTGGCACTGCTATACCGAGCTGCTGTAGGTCTCATCCTGCCCATATGTGTCCCCGAGGTCTGGTGGCATGCTGGGGACAGGGGATGGCTGTGCTGCCTGTGTCACCTGCTGCGGGGCTGCTGTGGTTGTGGATCTATGGTGGACAGGAGTCCTGCGGGAAGAGAGAGGAGGCCAGGAGAGATGCAGGGGGGTCCTATCCCTATCCCCATCCCCAGCCCTGCAACAGAAGGTGCAGAGGAGGCTCAGGACAGGTGCAGGTGTGCTGCTGTGGCTCTGCCCGCACCCATCTGAGCAGTGCTGTGCCACCCCAACCCCACAAAACAGAAAGCAGGAGCTGGGCCTGGAGCCACCTCTTTGGGCCCCAGGCCCGGGCCAGGAGCTGCACTGAGCACAGAACCCAGAGAGGGGGCAGGCACAGGCTGGTTCGGGGTTAATCATTCCCCAGGGCAATGCGGCTCTGGAGCAAAACAACCCCACGGCCAGGGGGCCACACCGCTCCCACCCCACTGCCCCACCATACCTGGAGAGCTGGAGCCACAGGCTGCGCTGTGCGGGCAGCGGCAGGAGCAGCAGCAGCACGGCGAGCAGGGCGAGGAGCAGCCCGGTGCTGCGGGCACAGCGTCCCGAGCACAGCGTCAGGGCTGGGGGGCAGCAGCGGGCTCCTGCGGGTCTTCTCATGGTGGATGCTTGCAGGGAGGGATGGGAGCCTCAGCCTTGGTGCAGGGCTCAAGGTGGAAAGCGCTCCTGTCTTCTCCCCTGCCCTCCTCCCGTCGGCCTTGGGACTCCGTGGCCGCAGTGCCCGTGTGACAAAGTACAGCTGGAGCGGGGACAGCCAGCATCCAGCCCCAGGCAGCACGGTGCGGATGGGACAGAGCACAGCTCAGGGCACGGTGCGGAGCACGGCGGGCGGAAGCTGCATGAAAGGGGGGAAGTGGAACTGAGGAAGCAGTTAGAGAAGCAAGAACAGTAAAAGCAGAGCTCACAGCAAGTCATCGCCCCAGATGGGTGCGTGTTTCCTGGAGGGCTGTCACCCAGCACTGCAGGATGGACACAGGGACCCTCAGGGCCGTGCTTACAGCCACGCTATGGTCACACGCAGAGCTTGGCAGCGCAGCTCACTGCTGCCTACACTTCTTACAGTGACAGAATTGCCAGCTATTGGCACAGCTCAGTGACACAGAACCAACCATGAGCACAGCTTTAGAACCCCGTTACCTGGGCTTTCCAGCACCTTCTGCAAATCAGGCTGAACTCCGACTGTCAGCACACGGCACAGTAATTGCACACTCGATGCAGATTTCTGGTTATGAATCATTCAGTCTTTGGGGCAAGCAGGCAACAGAGGCATCCCTTGTCATCACTGTGGGTTTTGCCATCCAGCAGCCATGGCAGTGCAGGTGCCACTTGGGGTTTTCTGCTGGGTTGTATGGGCAGCATCACCCCATGCTCCACCATGGTATCACTGCAGGGTAACATGGAAGGTGGCTGTTCTTACCACAGTGCCAAAAAAGGGGAGAGAGAAAGAAAGGGGGAACTGGTGCACAATCAGCTGCTTGTGTGGTTCTGCCGTTTGCAGCATGAAATGGAGTGTTTTATGGGAAACGACCATCAGGGAGATGGCTTTTATGGGAGGTGACCCAGAGAGAACACTGTGCCTGCTGTGCCCTCTGTCCCGTGGGCTCCCAGGTAGCACAGAGCCTGGCTGAAGGCACGTGTCAGCCCTGGGACTCCAATGAGAAAAACCTGCTGTCCTCGAGCAGCAGCCCTGGCCTTGGAGAGAAAAGCCTGCACAAGAGGGGTCACACACTGCCTGACAAGAGGAAAAGGATGCCGTGAGCTCAGCGCAGGCGTTTCCCAATGTTGTTGGGTGGTGGTGAGGGATTTGCAGTGCTGTGAGATCGCATCCTGCCCTGGTCCCATCTCCTCCCAGCAGCCTGGTTTCTCCCGTTGCACTTCCCAGCTATTTCATTTGAAAGGCAGAACGGGGCTGCAGAACAGGCAGCAAGCTGCTGGGCCACGGCTCTCCTCTCCCCCCACACCCTGAGGTGGCAGGGAACAGGCTGTGCTCAGCCCACTGCCAGCACACGGCACTGACCTCCCCTCTGCACAGAGCTCAGGGCCCCTCACTGCCCACAGGGCTCAGCCCCCGGCTCCCAGCACAGCTCAGGGCCACGCAGGGAGGGGATGCACGCATCAGCGAAGAAAAGAAACAAAAAAAGCCCTGGATGCCAACAGCACAGAGGCTCCCCTCTCCCCAAGGACATATAGATCAAAGCTGTAGAAACCAGAGCAGCTTTTATTGTTAAAACACAACCACCAGAAATCCAAACGCTGCCACGTGGCCCCACTGGGACCCCCGACTGAGGCACCAATTAAAAAAAAAAGGGGAGGGAAGAAGGAGGCCACCCCCAGCCCCACGGTAGGGGCCCACGCACCCAGGTGCCACAGGGCTATTCAGCAGCCAGCAGCTGCCGGCGCTGCTGCTCCAGGAGGGCTTCCAGGTGGTCGGCTCTCTGCACTGCAGCCTGTGAAGACAGCGAGCCAGGGTGAGCTGTGCCCAGGCAGTGCCACAGGAAGGGCAGGGGCAGCAACCTGCTCACCTCGTACTGCTTCCGAAGGCTGCTCACGTTCTCCTCCTTCCTCGCCACGGCCGTCTTCACCCTGAGCAGGGAGATGGGGAGAGGCTGAGCCCAGCGCCCAGCTCTCATCGCTCCCGGATCTGGGCACAGCAAAAAGCTGCCCCTCTCCTCCACACCCCAAGCAAGCTGCAGCACCATCAGAGCAGCTGCTCTGGACCTCAGGTGCCCCTTCATGCTAGGAGCACTGTTATTCACTTTGGTAGCACTGTGCATTTGAATCAAGCCATCTGCAGGAAGAATGGGACGTGAGTTTCACACGACTTCATTAACTAAAGAAATTTCTTCCCAGTTCTTCCCAGCAAACCCCCACTTGCTCATGGCTTAGTGTGCATGGTGGTAATGCATTGGCCCACGCTCCGGGCATGACCCTGCCTCTCCAAGTAAAGCACTGGGCTGGCTCTGGGAAAGTCTTTGAGCTCTGCCTCCTCACTGCAGCTAGTGGTGAACAGTCCTGCAAAGGTACAGGAGGAATCAGCCTGTACATAGACAGCAGCCAGCACAGCCCCTGCCCCACACTGAAAGTGCTCCTGCAGAAGACGATGTGCTTCCCCATCACATTCCTGTTCTGCTTGCAGAATCCCTCCCCCGCAGGCAGGAAAAGCAAAGGACCAGCTGCTTGACGCCCATCCAGCACCAGCAGTGCCAGAACCCATGCTCTCTACAGCCCTGAAGCACTCCTGGAGCTATGGCAACTACTTCCCACCTCCATGTCCATGCAGGAGCTTAATGTGGGCCCGCAGCAGGCTGCAGAACATGTGCTGGACCAGCAGGAACCCCCCCGGCCAGCCGTGTGCCTCTGCCCCAGCTGCAAGCCCAGCACAAAGCCCCTCACCTCCTGTGGACCTCCTCCAGCTCTCGCTCCTTCTCCCGTACCACCCTGTCCAGCTCCAGGCGTTGCCGGGCACGCAGCTCTGCCATCTCTGCCTTCAGCCTCTTGTTCTCCTCCTCGGTGCCCACCAGCCTGTCTGCAAACTCCTGCCGGATCACTTCTGCCAGGCTGCTCCTCTCCTGTGACAGCTGGTCCCGTACCTGCAGGGTGACACCGGTGTGACCCCGTGCTGTGATGCAGCGTGCTGGAGGCAGACCCCCCAACCCTGCTCTCTGCTCACCTTCCGGATCTCCTCCACCTCCTGCTCCTTGTGCTTCAGCAGGCCCTGCAGACGGATGCTCTCCCCTTCCAGTTCCACCAGCCGCCCCTTCAACTCGTTGCAGCGCTCCTGCAGCTTCCTCTCAGACCTCTCCAGTTCCTGCAGCTCCACCTCGTACTTGTCCCGGATCCTCTTGATCCTAAAGGAGAAGAGGACAGAGCCCAGTGCTGCAGCCACACGGGAGATCCCCAGCCCCAGCACATGTCCAGAGCTCCCTGCACAGGCTTAGAAGACAGGGAAGGCAATCGGGAGCACCCTCTCTCCCTCCCCACCTGTTCTCAGCCGCCTGCTCGCACTCCTCCTTGGCAGAGGACATGTCGGCCTCCAGGCGCTGGATGACCAATTCAATCTCTTTGTCCCTCTCCTTCCTCACCTCCTCCCTAAGCTCCCGCTCCCGGGAGAGCAGCCAGGCTTCCTGGAAACAGCAACAGAGGGGGAAACATCAGCTCTGAGCCTGAGGGCAGCACCTCCCAAGCAGGGCAGCCCCGGCCATTACCTCCTTCTTCACATAGCTGGCCTCCCAGGCCTGTTTCTCAAGCTCCAGTCGGTCCTTCAGCACCTTCACTTCTGTCTACAGATGGACATGGAAGAGAATCTCAGCTCCAGTGGGTACAGCTGGGCATAGCCCTCCCTCATCCCACATGCGCATGCTGCCCACAGGGTGCCAGCACGCAGCTCCACGCAGCTCCTGGTTGTGTCAGGACACAGGGAACGAACTGTATGCACCCAGAAAAGCCCTGCTCGTGCTGCTAGGCCCCAAGGGACAGAGGAGCAACACACCTGATGCCGCCTCTCCTGCTCCTCCTTCTCTCTGGCATACTCCTCCTTCAATGCAGTGGTGACAGCCAAGCTGCTCGCCTCCAGCTGCCGCCTCAGCTCCTCCACCTCTGCTCTCTGCCTGCCCACACACAGCCCACAGCTCACAACGTGCCAGGGGGACACGGCACATGGCACAGAGCCACCCCCCAGCCCCAGCCCTCACCTGGCTGCCTGCTGGCTGAGCCGCTCCTTCTCCTCGGCCACCTCTGCATAGAGCCGGCGCCGCTGCTGCTGCAGTGCTTGTTCCTCCTGCTCCAGCTGCTTCTCACACCTGGGGGCAGAGCAGTCTCAGCAAGGTGCAAGGCTCAGGGCATTTGGGCCCCCAGCACAGAGCTGCAGGGCTTTCCCTCCACCCTGCCCTGTAGGCCATCCAACACATCTCTGGAGGATGCCCAGATACCACCTCCTGGGGCTGCCCCACGTGCCCCACTGCTGACAGCATCAGGAACCCACTGCGGCTGGGTGCTGGATGCCACGAGCCCCACATACCGCTGCCGGGCCAGCTCCCTCTCCCGCTGGCTCTGCTCCTCCTTCTGCTGCTCCAGCAGTCCCCGCAGCTCCTCCGCCTGCCTGCAGTACCGCTGTGCTGCCCGCTCATCTGATTGCAGCAGCTCGGCCTCATGCAGCATCTTCAGCTTCTGAATGTCCTGACGGTGCTTGGTGATCAGCTTCTGGATCTCTGGCTCCAGTCCTGGGGCAGCAGGGAGGATGCTCAGCACAACCCAGAGCTCTGCGGGTGTCTCAGCCCTGGCCACAGTGGCACGGATGGGTTGGGAAGGGGTGAGCAGACATGCACAGGTTTTCTTGTGTTCCATCTGTATCCAACGGGTCCGTACCTTTCACAGTGATCTCTTTGATCTTTTTGGTTTTCTCATCAATCCACTTTTCCCTCCTGATCTTCTCCGTTGCGCTCATGAGTTCCTTGAGCTTTTTGATCTCCTGTTTGGAAGCCAATAGGAAAACTTCAGAGAGAAACTAGGGAAGAAAACCCTTATTAGTTCAAGCTGTAGCAAAGGGCATCGCAGGCAGGAGCTGACGTCCTCAGCTGCGTGCAGCCCACACACTTGCTGGCCGTGGCTGGGAGCACCTATCAGAGAGGAGAGGGAACCTGAGGCTGGGCAATGGCTGCAGATCAGGGTGTGCGTGTGCTTCCTCCTCCAGCCTCCCCTTCCCTGGGGACATGGGGCTGAGGCTCTGCTGCATGGGAGTCTCCCATCCCACAGCTGTGGGGAAGGGGTGTCCACACACCCAGCCCTGCTGCAGGGTGGATGGGTTGGTGCATGCAGGCAG